AGAGAAAGTTCCTCATAGCGCTGCAGGGGCTCTGGCTGGGTCTGGACTCTATGTATTCTTAGCTGGCGTCTCTGATAGAAGATGTGCCTGGCAGAGAATTTAGGAGACGAGACCTACATGCGCAGGGCTCCAAGGAGTCACACCCACTGTCTCTGGGGCAGTTGGGTTTCTGGCCTTGTCCCCGGAGCCTGCTCACAGTCTCATCCTCCCCGGTGATATGGCTCCTAAGAAAATATTTCTCCTGGAAAGTGGATTTTAATGAATCCTCTTGGGCTTGCTCCTCTGCCTGCCATTTTTTTGAACATTGCCCGCTAAAATGACTCTCAGTCCTGCACAGTTGTTTTGTTCCACGTGATCTGGCCACTGAAGACCCTGATTCAATGGCTGGTTTCAGTAACTGGCCCAGCAGCAAGAGGCATGGCCAGTCTCAGCCCAAGTTATAGAGAGTCAAGTCTTTGATCACTGACTTTTAGATAGCATTCAACACTAATTTAATGCACGGCTCTATGCTTTCCTAGTTGTTTTTCTTTTGTCTGTCCTTTGTCATTTATGATACTAGTGTGACTTTGCCTCTCTATCTGTATTCAGAGGACAGATCTACACAGATCTCAAGATGATGACACAGCTCCATCCCTCAGTGTTACAACTCCAACTCAGGCCTTTGTCTCCTCTCAATCAGCTCTTCATCTCTCCTAGTCTTTGTTCTCTCTTCAGTCACTCCTGCCACCAGTCAAGACTGCTGAAGACCTGCTGGAGTTTTCCTATCTCTGCACTCTCAACTTGCAGCAAATAAAAAAATACCTTTCACATATTGATTATAAAATGTACATATTCCCCAAAACATTGCACATACATAACAGAAATAATGTTTTGGTTCTTTTTGAATATAAAAACTTTCAATTATTCAATTGATAAGTATATTGTAAGGTGCATGTCTGAAACTGTACCCTAGCTCAAATCTTATAATTTTCCTCCTTGATACCATCTAATCTCCTACACACTAATTCTCTTCTCTGTGCTTCATTTGCCATAAAATGACAGAGACAGAAAGCTGTTTCTCCCACCTGTCTGTGATTGTGCTGTATTATGGGGATGCCACATTGATGTACGTCCTTATGTTTCATGGACCTAAACAAGACAACATTTTCATATTATTTTTCTCATATGTCCCCAGTACTAAAGACCTATCTACAGTTGATGAACAATGTTTTGGGGACCTTGTGTATTCTCATCATTAAAAAAATATTTCTGGAACACTATACCCTGTAAGTAGAGCTTAGCTGGCTTCTAGAATTAATTCTTCCTTAAAGTCATATATAACTCAAATAATAATCATGGTACAACAACTCTAGTGAAGAGTATGTCTTTTGACAGAATAATATAGCAATGTGATTGGACATGTGAGATACTCTTTAAACCTCCTCAGGAGGCATTTTAAAGGATGTAATTTTCACTATTTAGCATTGATATTCTCTCTTTAAATCTTAGTCTTCATCATGCCATGAAGCTACTTAAAGGGCTCTGAAGGTGCAACTTCATTATGGCCTCTTAGCTTTTTACTTTGTATATTGAAACCATTTGAGAAGCAGAGGCAGTAGTTTGAACTGCAGGCCTTCACCAAGTCTCAGGTATCTATGGAGATTTGTGTAAATTGTGAAAAGGTCATATTGATAGTAATAGTCTTGTCTAATGCCCTACTACTATTGTAGTAGTTTTTTTATATAGTTATTGGCGTTTTGCTATAGGTGTGCAAACTTTTTGCATTAATTTACTTTTAGATTTTATGGAATTGAAAAAGTAGCTACTGTTTAGCTTCTCATATTGCTTTCCCTTCATCTCTCGTTTCTTTCCTTTATCCCTGTTTTCATGCTTGCTCTAGCTTTGTTTCTCTTAATCCTTTTCTTTCTTTTATATTTCTTTTCCTTTAATGCTATTTAATTTTCGACCCATTGTTGCCCAGTTACTTTGCTTTGATTTCCTTTTTAACATGATTTTAATGGACAAATAAGAGATTTTGGTCACTTTGGCTGAGAAGAAATAGCAATTTAAAAAGTGAAGAAATTAAATGTAAGTGTGAAATATTTACAAGAAAATTGCTTTTATGTACATGTGTTCTTTGTGTATCATGGTCCTGATATTAATTACAAAAGCAATACATTGCATATTTTAAAATTGCTGAAGAAAATTTTATTTGTTCTTAACAATAGGATGCAAATTCATGCACATAACAACAAGCTTTAATTACCAATGCTACAATTTACACACACATCAAAACATCTTAATGAACACTATGCCTATATCTATCTATCTATCTGTCTATCCATGTATCTATGTATTCTTATGAACATGTGTGTCCTTTCTAAAAAGAACAAATCATATTAGGATTTTGAAGACATTTTCTCTTCATAAATAAAAAAGACAAATATGTGTAGCATCATTCACCAATCTTGGTCTAAATGAATGGCATTTGTTATCTTGTGCTAAGAGTCATGAGATAAAGCTTCCATTTTTTAATACTTCTAACAGATGAGAAAATTAAGTGAAGTAAGCAAGGCCCAAAGGTTTCCCTTATTTGCAATAACTAGTATATGTCTGAGACAAACAGAAACTGTCAGACAAGTTGATGTTAGGCAAAACGAACCCCAAGATAAGGACTCAAATGTTTTTCTTTCTTGCAATTATTTCTTTGTTGCTTTGTATGTCCCTCCCCCACAGTATAACCCCTGCATTCGTTATATTTAATGTTGGTATAATTTGTGGAGGGGAAGGGAAAAAAACAAATTGTTTAAATAGGGATACAGGTGGACCCATTACAACAATGAGATGTACAAGATGTTATGTCGAAAAACAAACTTTACAACTTTGGCGGTGGGGGGTGGAGGGAGAGGAAAGGAAGAAGGGAAGGAATGAGAAAGGGAAACAAAGGAGGAGGCAACAATGTTTGATAAGAAATGTACTCATTATCTTGCCCATGTAATTGTAACCCCTCTGTACGGTATTTTCACAATAAAAAAAAAAAGAAAACATCTCTATGCCAGTGGCTCACATCTATAATTCTAGCTACTCAGGAGGCTGAGATCTGAGGATTATTGTTCAAAGCCAGACTGGGTAAGAAAGTCCATTAGACCTTTATCTCCAATAAACCCCTAGAAAACCAGAAGTGGCGCGGTGACTCAAGTAGTAGAGTGTTAGCCTTGAGCTGAAGAGCTGAGGGACAGTGACCAGGCCCAGAGTTCAAGCTTTACATCTGACAAAAAAGAAAAAAAAAAGGAAAACAGTATGCAAGGAGGCACAGATGTCAAAGAATGGGCAAGGATTCAAACCTAGGGACTCAGGTGCTTTTCCACTATCAATTCTCTACACAGTTACATCGCAGCAAGGAAAGAAGAGCAACCAAATATTAAACAGGAAAGTGAGTTAAATTATTGCTCAAGCAACAATTTAGCAAAGTATAACAAATATAAAGGGTAAAGTTTTGAAACAATTTTTGCTTTTTTCTAGGCATTCGAATTTTATCCAGTTTTCTTTCTTTTGTTATTTGTGCTTGTCCTGGAGTTTGAATTCAGGGTCTGAGTGCTGTCCCTGAGCTTCTTTTGGCCTGAGGCTAGTGCTCTACCACTCCCGCTATAGATACCCTTCTGTCTTTCTTAGTAGCTTATTGGAGATAAGAGTTGCATGGACTTTTCAGCCTGGACTGGCTTCAATCCTCCATCCTTACATCTCAACCTCCTCAGTAGATAGGATTATAAATATGAGCCACCAGTGCACAATTGATTTCAGCAGTTTTTAAAAGGCACTTGATTTGATGAGCTTTAGCTCTTAGAGGTTAGTTTTACAGATGGAACAATTTAAGATGATTAAATGAAGGACAGAATTTCTGTTTTCTTCAAGCACTGTTGTCAAGGATTCCTATATGAGACACAGTAGTGTGGAGGCTTCTGAACTCACCAGGCTCTCACTGCTTGTTTTCGGTCTCTTATGTCCATTAGTAGTGTAGTAAAATAAAACACATTCAGGGTAAATTGTGTGTTCCTGTTTTTCACACTCTTCCTTTGCTATCATGACTCTATTATTCTTCTCCACTAATAACTTTTTCTCAATAATATAGAAACCCAACATACTTTTGGTTGGTCCTTCTTTTTTAGTATAGGTAAAATCCAATAGAAAGGGAGCAGTCTTTAATATTGGATGCTACTGGTGTTTACTTAGTACCAAAGGATAACTATGTGTCCTTGCTATGCAAAATCTAAATGAAAATCAGTCCATTGTCCACTCGGTAGTAAACAGAGCGAACCTGAGACATCCAAACATTTGTACTCCTGGTCCTTAAAAATGAGGGAGTTCAAAACCCAGTTGATATATGCCAAGAGACTGTAGAGTAGATGTACAGTGGATTTCCAATTCAACATTGCAATTTATGAGTATAATGCCTCTTGATTACTATTACCACTCCCATCTTTCTCCCCATCTCTTTCAACTTTACCAATTCCCTCGAGTTACCCTGTTTCAATTTTCACATTTGTACATTGAAATTATGACTATCCCTTTTCCCCTCCATTTCACTGCCACTACCCAACAGCATATACTTCAGCTTGCTGGTATTCACTTGTTGTCTATGAATTAGATGTTTGAAGGGGTAGACTATTGCAAATCTCATACACCATACTTTAGACAATATGTTTGTGCATATCTACACATGACCATGTATATGTTCATATATGGTTACAATTTATTTTAATTTCCACATGAGAGAAAATATGAGGCCTTTGTGTTTCAGAGTCTGATTCATTTGACTTAACATAATTTATTCCAGGTCCATTGATTTATCTACAAATAACATTTTTATTGTTTCTGATAAATGAGTAAAAGTCCATTGTGTATGGGGGGCCTAGTTAATTTTCTTCATTAAAAAGTTTCTGCAATATTCACAAAACAGTCTCTTATTAAAGGAGAGAGTAGTGTAGCATTTTGTCAAGGAAAAGGTATAGTAAAAGCCAGGTCTAATCCCTGGGGATGGAAGGCAGAATGTATTTCCCAAAGACTCTCCTCAAGGCTCTCATCACCTCTTTGTTTCTCAGGCTATATATGAGGGGGTTCAGGGCTGGGGTGACAATAGTGTAGAATACAGAGAGGATGTTGTCCTGTTTGGGACTATGAAAGGAAATGGGCAGGACATATACAAATGTGGCAGGGCCATAATACATCCCAACCACAGCCAGGTGGGAGGAGCAGGTGACAAGGGCTTTCTTCCTTCCCTCATTGGAGGGCATGTGGAGCACAGTGAAGAGAATCAGTGTGTAGGAGACCAGAATGGCAGCAAGTGGGGGGATCAGGAACATCACACCACCCACATACAACAAGAGCTCATATCTAGAGGTGTCTGCACAGGCCAACTTCAGCAGAGGTGGGATCTCACAGAACAGATGTTTTACCAGCCGGGATTTGCAGAAGGGATAGTGCATAGTGTAACTGGTATATACGATGGCACTCAGGGATGCTAGGATCCATGATGTGGTTACCATGAGCCAAAGGACTTTTGGATTCATGAAAGTTGTGTAGTTTAGAGGATGACAAATGGCCACATACCTGTCATAGGCCATAAAAGCTAGAAGCAGGTCCTCTGCTGCACCCAGAATCAGTTCAAGGGACATCTGAAGGGCACAGCCTCCAAAGGAGATGGTGTTATCTCCACGCAGGAAATCTGTGATGGCCTTGGGGGTGATACTTGATGTGAGGAGAAGGTCAATGAGAGAGAGCTGTCTAAGCAGGAGGTACATGGGCACATGGAGCCTCACATCCATTGTGATGAGCAGAAGCAGCAGCCCATTGCTGGTCAAAGATAGCATGTACAGGACTGTGATCACGGCACAGAGTAGTTCAGGAAATCCACTGTTATTCAGGATGCCCACCAAGATAAAGTTGCTTCCCAAGGTGGAGTTCCAGTCCTCCATTCTGTGTGATTCCTTTAATTGCTTGGAGTCAGATAGCTAGTGGAAGTCTTTCTAAGAGATTTCAGTCAACATTTAAATAGACTCAGTCCAACTGAAGTAGCCAACAGAAATCCTGTGAAATATCTGTTCATTCTCTATATTATTCAGTGCTTTCTGATTTTCTCAATATTTTTAGTGAATTATGATGATCTTTCTGTTAAATGGGTTACAGACATGTAGAGTATTACTCAACATCAAGATTGCCTTTATATTAATATTCCAATAAAATGTACCTTAGCAAGTATTTTAATAGGGAAAGAAAATCATCCTTTAGTTTATAACTAAAACCAACTTCACAGTGGTAAAAAAATTTTAATCTATTGCTTTCATGCTTAAAAGCTACTTGTGTTTATAATTCAGTATTAAGTTTGCTACATGATTGATTTTTTGCTATGTTCTTTCTTGCTCTGATATATGCCTTTACTTTCTTGTCTCAAAAATGTGAACTTCCTCCAGAAATTTCTGGGTCTTTGTCACTTGAACTTCTATAGTCTTCAAATATCTTCCTCTTCTTGATGGTTGTACTGTTGGTCTTCTGGAAGAAAAGCAATTCTTTTAATTTGAATGATTGGGTGATATAGGTTTTAGTAATAACTTGGTAGACGGTGTTCAAAGTTATTTAACTTTTGAAGATAGTGGTAAAAATTTACTCAATAGAAGCAAGGACAGTAATCTGGATGGGATTTCTGAGGACATGTTAACAGATTCTGGAAGTAAAAAGTATGTATTTCGGGTATCAGGTACATAATATGGTCTCTGTAAGAAAGGCAAAAGACATCCCACTACCTAAGATTCACAGCATGAATTCTAAGCATGAAACATATTGTTTGCCATCACAGATCTTAGCAATGTGAGGAAAGATGATGAGAACACTGAATATAAATGATACTACTGTGTATGGAGCTGAAATGGAAGGGACCTACAATATGTGGTGTTTCTTATCTAACGTTTTACCTCTTCCTTTGGTTTTCTCCTATTATCCCTCTCCCCACCCCATCCTCTCCCACTCCTCCCCACCCCTCAGAAGTTGTAAAGTTCATTTCCAACAAAGTGTCTTGTGGGTATCATTGTTGCAATGGGTCATCCTGTGTCCTTGTTTCAGCATTTTGTCATTCCCCTTTCCCTCCCCAAATTAGATAAATGTATACGCAAGATGCGGAGTACCAAAATCAAATACTGTGACAACAGAGGATATACCATAGGGGGAAGAATATACAAAAGAAACAAAAAAATCACATAATAAATTAAAAACAGCAATGACAAAGAAAAATCTCTTGTGTCCATATCTTGAGGTTCATTTCATTTAGCATTATCTTATATGGTCATATGTACATAGCACTTGACCTTTCTGCTCATCAGATAAGATTAACCTAGACATATACTAATTATTGCAAATAAGGGAAACCATGGGACCTATATTTCTCCAGATCTGGCTTACTTCACTTAATATGATTTTTTCTAAGTCTTTCCATTTCCTAAAAAGTGGGGCAGTGCCATTCTTTCTGATGGAGGCATAGAATTCCATTGATTTTCTTGAGGGTTGGTTAAGTAGTATAGAGACTCCTCAAAAGACCTCACATTGAGTTCCCTTATGACCCAGCAATCCCAGAAGGCCATTTACCCAAATGATCACAAACAAGCCTATATTAAAGCTACCAGCACAACTATGTTTATTCTTCACCATAGCTAAAATATGGAACCTGTACCACGTTTTTATCTTCAGAAAAAGGGGCAATGAATATATGCTCTGTTTACAGAGGAAGAACCCTGCTGATAAACTACTGGTGGTGTAGGGAAGTTCAGGAAGGATGAACTTCACAGTTAAAGCTGTCCTCAGCTTATCTCAGACATATACAAATAAGGGAAACCATGAGACTTATGTTTCTTTGAGTCTGGCTTACTTCACTTAATATAATTTTTTCCAAGTCTTTCCATTTCCTAACAAATGGGGCAATGTCATCTTTCTGATGGAAGCATAGAATTCCATTGTGTATATATACCACATTTTCTTGATCTATTCATCTACTGAGGGGCATCTGGGTTGGTTCCATATCTTAGCTATGGTAAATAATCTGCAATAAACATAGTTGTGCTGGATAAAGACTCAAATGTTTTTCTTTCATGCAATTGTTTCTAACACATTTATAAGATGATTTCTTTGTTGCTTTGTATGTCCCTCCCCAACAGTATAACCCCTGTTTTCACTGTAATTGATGTTGGTATAATTTGTGGAGGGGAAGGGAAAAAACAAATTGTTTAAATAGGGATACAGGTGGACCCATTGCAACAATGACATGTACAAGACATTATGTTGAAAAACGAACTTTTCAACTTGGGGGGGGGTACTGGGGGTAGGGGAAGGTGGGGGCGGGGAGATGGGAAGGGATGGTAAGGGGAAATAAAGGAGGAGGCAACAATGATTGATAAGAAATGTACTCATGGGAGGTGAAGGGTAAGCAAAGGAGGAGGCTGCAATGCTTGGTAAGAAATGTACGCATTATCCTGCCCATGCCCGTAATTGTAACCCCTCTGTACAGTATGTTCACAAATAAAATAAAATTAAAAAAATAAAAAAAGAAATGTACTCATTACTTTGCTCATACAATTGTAACCTCTCTGCATGGTATTTTCACAATATAAATAAATAAATAAAATCACAAAAAAGCTGTCCTCAGGTTAAAGGAAGAAAATCATTATATTTCATGGAAATAGTTATTAAAATATAAGTACAATTTGGTAGTACAGTTTTATCAGTTTTTCCCCTTTGTACTTTTAGTTGTAGCTCATTACTAATGCAATATTCAATTGATAAACATGGCTATATTTATTGGGTTGAGGAAAAACATTTGGATATCAATATATAGTCTGTACTTGATGTATTGATCTTCCTCTCCCAGCTTCCTCAAATCTAGGAATATAAGGTTGTTCCCACCATGTCTGCTTTTATTGGCTTTTGGGGGGGCTATATTTTTGGTATTAAGTTGATAAGTAGGAGAGAGGGAGTGATGTAACTGATATTTTGAGGAACTACTCATTTGGAAATAGATATTAGATTATTGGAGTCCAGGAAAATGCAATTATAAGTTCTAAGTGCGTTTTTTTGTTAAAGTATTGTTGTGTTGAACTCAGGGGTCTGGTGTTATTTGGCTCTTTTGCTCATGCTAGTGTTCTACCTGTTCAGCATGTCCCCAGTCCTCATTTTGATGGATAATTGGAGATGTATTCTCATAGACTTTTCTACCCAGGCTGATTCTTCAGGTATCAGGCATTTTGAGAATCTAGGATTATAGTCATGAGCCACTGTAACCTCATCAGTACTGAAACATTTACCATAAAGCCAGCATCAAGAATTCTAGAAACTTAGGTCTGGCCAATAGCATTGAATATTACAGATGGTTTCATATATACAAATGAGGTAGACATCTCTATCCAGAGCCCAGAGCACAAATGTGATCAGGAGAACCATAGAGCTTGAGAAACTAGGCAGTCTGAGAGCAGAACAGGAAGTTTTGCACCTGTTTCTCTAGATTCAAAGCCTCATACTTTATAGGGAAAAAATAAAGACAAAGCACTTACCTCCAAAGAGTGTTAAAGACTCCAGACCACACCCAAAGTCTTGGGATTCAATTGGGCCTTGAAGTGGTTCAGGATGCTGAGGAAAGAGGAGGTGTACCTCCTGAGAGGGTGGGGTATAGATGTGCATGGCTGCCACTAGAGCCAAAGGTCAAAGGTTCCTCTTTTCACCACCATCACCAGTCTTCTCTGAGGAAAGAAATGGACAAGTGTAGACAATCACCTGAGAATGCAGGCAGCCAGCTGGGGTATTCAGGATGTGACCGCTCATTATGTCCTTATTGAATCTCCCTTCACAGGTGTGTGGCATGTATGTCTGGGTCTGGAGCTCCTGTCTCAGATTTTTATATGTTCTGCAAGGTGGAATCTGTGATAAATGATGAGCTTTGCATGATTGGAGAAAGAAGAATAGGCAGGGTTGCTCAAAGGACCCTGCCATTGTTTCTCTTCACTGTTCCTTCTCTGGGGCAGTTGGGATTCTGGCCTTGTCCTGGGGGACTTATCACACTCTTATTTTCCCTGGTGACATGGACTCCCAGATTAATACTTCTCCTGGAAACTGGATGTTAACGAATTCTCCAGGGTTTGTTCCCATGACTTGCTATTTCTGCATACATCACCCACTAATTGGACTCTGAGTCCTGACAACTTGTTGTGTCCCACATATGCTAGCTACCTATGTTCCTGATTCAACAGATGATGTTGATAACTGGCCAGGTGGTAACACCCTTGTCCATCTTCTGTCCAAGTTATCAAGAGATTCAAGTCTATGTCAGGGCTGCCATTCTCCTGGTACCTCCCCGTGTCACCTGCTGGAGAGCTTAACAGTGTGCTTTTGTTAACCTCAGGTCTTCCTCATTGACCTTTAGCTAACAGATAACACTCATGAGATGGATGCTTGTATGGTGTTCAAGTTCTTTCTTTTTTCACATCTACCCTCTCTCATATATGCCTGACCCTCTGTATTCTGTGAGCTTTGGATGGCTCTGGACGGAACTGGAGATGTTGACACAGCTCTAGCGTTCAGCTGTCACTGCTTCATTTCAAGACCTCCTCTTCTCTCACCCAGCTCTTCTTTTCTCGGTCTCCAGTCTGTCTCCAATCATTCTCCTCACCAGTCAAGGTTGGAAAACAGCTACTGGTGTTTTCTTATCTTTTACCCTCGAATTCTAAATAATTAATGATATAGTTTTATGTACTGGTTATAAAATGTGTATACTCCCAAATATTACTGTGAAAAAAGTCCACATTTTATAAATTATTTTTGTGTAGAAGAAGGAAAAGGTAAATCTTTTCTTTTGTTCTGACTATTATAATGGTGAGCATCTTGTGAGGGTCATGTCTGAACTCCTACTCTAGCCCAGGGCATATGATCTCACTCAGTGCTA